ACAAAAATTTTAAAAAATTAAATTATTTTAAAAATACTTTTAAAATAGCAAAATAAATGGGACATAAAACGATGATGGTGTGCGTGAATCACTGTAACTCCCGTTCACATACAATTCGTTGAATTTTTTATTTCAATTTGATAATTAAATTTTTATCTAAGTTAAAAGGACTAGAGTGATAAAAGCTGAGAAAAAGGGTGGTGGTTTTAAAAAATTAGGTAAGAAGTTCGGTTTCACCCTCTTACTTTTTAAATGACAACATTTAGATCCCTCATATTTCACCCTCTTTCTTTCTGTAATGCATCAATCAACCTGTCAAAGTAGGAAATGAAAGTTTGAGAAAAGTTTGTAATCTTACGTGGACATCAACTTTAGCCTCCAAAATTGACCTTCTTCTTTTATACATAAAAGGCTTTGGCTGAAAAACCTAGCCCTGGGGAGCCTCGACATCCATCCATGGAGTTAACCATCATCCTTTCTTCGTGGCCTTTTTTCCAGTGGGGACTTCACATTTTAAGTCCCTTTCTTGAGAATTCAAGAAGAAAATAGTTATCTTAGTGGTTGTTGTCTGTCATAAAGTGGATGGAAGCAGAAACCTTAGCAGAAACAACCATTTATAAGGTAGTTTCAATTTTATTGAAGAATATCATTTATAAGGCCTTTCTTCCACCATGTTTCTTTTTTCTCGATCCATCAGTTATGAAAGTGAAGAGAAAGCTAGCAGATTCTAGTGAGAGAGAGAGAGTATCGATTGATGACAATTTCAGCCGCTAATAATGTTGATTTTGTGAGGATAATTTAATTTTGATGTTATTTCGTATAATAATTGCATGAGAATATAGATATAACATTGACAAGTTTTTGAGTTTTGGATTGATTTTTTGGTTTAGGACTGATTTTTTAGTTGTTTGAAGGCACAGAGAAACTTATGTGTTTTTAGGTTGTTTTTTATGTATTTTTAGGTTAAAAAATAGTTTAAAATGTATTTTTGGAATTGAAAAACCCCTTTTTTATTTTTCTGGTGGCCCTTAAATCGTGGAAAATTAAAGACATGAACAATATGCTGTCTACATTATTTGACAAAAAAGAATTGGTTGGGTGGACGGCATTGTTCACCCAGCCAAGCAAAAAAATAATAAAATGGACAGGTGCACAGGCCAGCCCTTGTTTTACATCGTTTAATCTAGTTGTTTTTTTTTAATTATTTATATTTGTTATTGATATTAAATTTTTTAATTTGTTTTAATTTATATTTTATAAAGTTATTAGAATTTCTTAACTTAAGTTATATATTTTATAAGTTAATAAAGTTAATTATAATTAATCTAATATGTTATTATTTTAATTTTTTTAAAAAAATATTTCATGCAATACATGCAATCTTAATATTTATAAAATATATCTTGCAGCATATAATAGGCTTCAGACATCCTATCATCTTTTTTTTTTCTTTTTTGTACAGTTGAAAAAAAAACTTGAAAAGTAATTAAATGAAAAGTCATCGCAATTATTTCAAGGCTATACCAGTCCATTCAAATTCTAAGCTACCACAGCAAGTGTGGCCTTAGCCAGAAAGCAAGCGCAGAATCTTAAAGACTCGACTTTTACTCAATATATCATATTTTTATTGGGTAAAAAATAATCAAATTCTTGTAATTTCCACACCATAAACTTGACCTTGAAATTGAAGAACATCTACTTACTGGCTATGTTCATGTAATATGGGTTGAACATGGTGTAGACTCACCAATTCTTTTTTTCTGATGTGAACTGCAAATGGAAACTTTGTACAATGTCCACACGTGTCCATATCTTTCCTTTCAGCTTTTCATTATTGAAAAAAGAAAAAAAGAAGAAGAAGAAGTTTCACCATCCCTGCTGTTAGCCTAGTATAGTAATGCAATGGTGTGATTGTTTGCAGTCCCACATGGTGTGGCTCTCAAGAGATTTGAGTCCCACCATGATCTTAAGCTTTCCTAACTTCTAAAGCTACGTGCCTTTTTCTTTCTTGATTGGTTCGGATATAACGAATATAACGAAACATTTCATATTCTGCTCTAATTGCTGCCTTGAAAAAGATTGTTACCAGTCTAGTTGTCTGTGGAAAATTTACCATCACCAGTGCCATACAGTACTAGCAAAAACTTTTCACTTGATTAATTCTCACACGACAGAAACGAACTCCACCAGTTTTTGTTTCCTCTTGATTCTAATAGTTCTTCCTCACCTCTGCCAAATTTTATATGTTAATGATTGGTACTGACCTTTAGATGATCTAGACTAGTAGGTTCTTTACTGCTAATTGCAGTAATGTGCTGTTCGAGCTGTGGATTGCTTGGTGCAAAATTACGACAAGTCATATATATGGATGTAATGGGCTACTTAGCACTACTGGAACCGATGAAGACTTATTTGTCAGTTTCAAGAAGACGTAATTACAGAGGACCTGGTACTGGAGATACTTGAGGACATTAATGTTTGCTGTTTGGTAATAGGATAATTTAGGGCCAGTTTTCTGAACAATTCATTGAAGTGCTGGACGTAAGATCTACATCAGTTGGAGGCAGAGGTACGGTATCATTTCACCATAATATATGGACAATCTGAAAAGACAAATGTTAAGGTTTCGTCATAATGACAGTTTGATAGATCATCCCAAGTATGTCCTACAACTTTTATCCTGCTCATCAACTTCATCATGGAATCAATAGCTCTTGCATTTCTCTGATTGTATCCAAATAAAAGATAAAAGACAAGGAACCCATGATGCAAGTGTCCAGATGTCGGAGGAGTCTGGTTCCTTGATTAGCATGATCATAATCGAGTAATTACGAAGCTCAATTGGGATACTTATTGTGATGAATACTACAGATTCTTAATCACACCCCTGTCAGAAGGAAGAGGCTGTAAATTATCAATTCTGGTAAGTTAATTAAGAAGTGCATTAGAGAAGAGAGTCAGCTATATATCTTGTTGAAACTTCAAAGCATTGAAAAGCTTGAGGGTGGACCAATTGTCTTTTTGAGGTTATATTAGAAGTGGTTAGTCCTAAAAGCATTAAAGCAAGACAGCGAATGTTTAGAAAGTGAAAAGGGGAAGTTTGCTTTTGATCTTTAATTAGGTTGAGCCCTTCACAAGATCCTGCACAGCCCTAACGCCAATTAATTAATTGATGGTGTTTACCTTTATTTTTCTCCCCCGTGCTTTCCTGGCAGTGTTA